TGAGAAGGAGAAAGATAGCTGTGATCCTTATTTCCATCGGAGTCTGCCAAAAGGCGGTTGGGCAGACACCCCTCTTATGCGTTAGGAATAGAAATTCTTGCCACTTTGCATGATGCCGGCTGTTCCTCCCGAGTCTGTATTTAGGAGGGACTTGGGGCTTTGTTGAAATGCCACCATCACTGGAAGCTCAGGCTATCAGTGTAATGGCCTGAATTTGGGTTGTTTTCCCAAACCATTTGTGGTGTTATGTAAAACTTGTGAGCACTGTTCTTTATAACATGCAGTATATTTGCTTGATCTTTAAGCTGTTACTTTTTTCTAGGATTTCGTTCTGCTGATTTCCTTGCCCTCAGAGGGTATGTCCTCACACCTTTTGGCTTCCTGCTTCCATTTTCATGTACTGATTGTATTGTATCATTAGAGGGCCAAAGATCAGGACCCCTTTCTGGTAGGCCCCATAGACGTACTTGTCATAGTAGCTAGTGTCTCCGAGAGAAGGAGTTTTTTTGGTCCATTCCGGTTTCCTCACTACTGCCCGTGCGAGCTCCTGTTCAACTTGTACGAGCACTAGTGCTGAGCAGTGGGGACCCGATGTCTGAAACAGTCTGCTTGCCCTTGCACTGCTGAAGAGCTAAAACACCAGGTTTGGTATTCATTCTCATGGTTTCCAAGGAAGACTGGAGAATGGATCGGTGGGAAGGTGGTGTTTTTCCCCAAAGGAGTTCAACCTTTCTGACAGACAGGTTATTGGAGGCTGGACGTGGCAGTTTGTCTTGTTTTGCATCTGAGCCTTAAAGGGCACCCTTTGGCCACGTAGAGCCTGTCCTCTGGCACAGCCTTCTTGTACCCCTGCTCCTCAGCAACATTTTCAGTTTCATGGGTAGCCCTGAGACTATGGCCTGAATATCTCTCCCTTGATTTGTATTTCCTTAAAAAAATCCTCATGTATTGGAGCACTGGACTTAGTCTACTTGAGCAGCTGAAACATGGTATGGTCATTAGTGGCATTTATTGTGGGGAGACCGAAACATGCCTTGCACTGGTATTGGAAAGTGAGGAGTATGGTTTTTGAAAGCTTACCTGTCAGATTTCTGCTGTTTTTCACAAACCTGCCAGGTTTTGTGTCCAGCCCTAGTTATTTCAGTGCAGGGTTGCATTATGCTGGGAGTCTAAGGAGGATATGGTACTTAGGGAGGGTGATATTTAGCATATAGGGCAAATGCCGTATTTTGGTAGATAGCACTTTTTACTGGACTACACTCTGGTTGTAGGTCCAAGAAGCAGGATGGCTGTTGTGTGAGACAGCATGCCTGGGACTCATGTTGCTGCATCACTGCAGCTCTCTTTTCTTTTATAGCCAGTCAGTAATGTCCTGGTTGTACCCACATTTTGTAAGCAGTGTGCCCTGCTTCCTGAAAAAGATAGGTATCACTATGAAGTGATTGCTTTTTGGGTGGATGTGTAAGACCCCTGACACTTGATGGGATGAATTAGTTGCCTAGCCTTTCCTATACCTGGGGCCATAAACACCTGCATTACTTATTAAATAATTAGGCACTGAATTATTTATTAAATATCTACCATAAACATAACTCTGCCCCTGAGACATGCTCTTGAATTAGAGCAGTGGTGCACTGGTACTAAGATATACATCCTTCAGTGTTGGTGTGCACTTGATCGCATGGTTTCTTTGTGAGGCAAAGGCATGCCTGTTTAGGATGCTTCCGAGACTGTCACTCCACTAGAAAAAGACATTTGATTTTTCCCAGCCTGGTTTGGTGCCACGTGTGGCCAGGAAGGGTGGTTGGTCATTCGGTTGGTGCGGACGTAGGAGAGATCAGAGCCATGGCTTCATTGGATGCATTGGGAAGTTTGGGGAAGCTTTCCACAAAAGACAAGGGCTGGCTGGGATGGCTGCAGCCTGCAAAGGATTGCGGGGCATCTTGCTGGGGTTGGGATGTAGTTGTGGGGGCACTGACTAGACTTTGGGACACACTGGGTACTCAAGCAGTAGGGTGTATCCACGCTGTATTTCAGGACTCTGGAGGCAGGACCTCTGAGGCTTTGAGAGAAGAGCCTCGGCTCCTTTTCTGTGAGCCTGGAGACTTTGAGCTAGGAGCAGGCTAGGAAGCTGGGGGCTTCTGTGTCGGTTAATTGGATGTTGTGGGCTCAGGGTGGGGAGGTGGCTTGGCTCGTTGGGCTCATGCTGGAGTTACACCCAGAGTCTGGTGCTGGGGCTTATTTTCCTGCAGCCTGGGGACTTTGGGAAGAGGATGGGCTATGGCATTGGCCGTGGCCTGGGGCTTGGGTTGCAAGAGGGGTCCTCAGGAGATTGAGTCTAAACCTGGTGTTCAGGGAAGAGACAACATGTTCTTGGGTCATGCCAGATACTCAGGTGAGGTGAGGGGGCTATGTTGCCGGGGGGCTGAACTAATTGGTAGAATGCCTTGATTGGTTGTATGGAGATAGGGCTTGGAGACCTGTCTGGATTGGGTGCCATATTTGGGTTTGGACAGGGATAGGAACATCTCTGGTTTGAAGTAGACATTGTGTGATGGCAGTGAGTGGGGCTGGCTGGGCTGGGGGATGGTGATGGGGCAGCTGTTTGGTCTGGGTGTGGGACAGGTTGTAGCCTTGTCTTGTTGTGTTGTGAGCAATCCCCTAACTAGTACTTGGTGGGGATTTCTGCATGGCAGTGGAGTCCTGGCTTGTTGGGTTAAAGTTAGTATAGTCGTAGGCTAGCTTGTTTGGCTGTTCCCTGTGGGGCTCCTTCTTAGTGGGGTGCACATGGGATGGCCTTGTTATGGCAGCAAGAGTGAAGGCTGGCAGTGCT